AAGACAAGATAGGCACAGCCTGCTAGCTCTCTCCAGAAATCAAACCCTAGAAATTTTACAGAGATTTTTTAAAAAGCTTAAGAGATCTCAGAAGTTTTTAATCACAAAACTCTGAGAAATCTTAGGCAGAGGATGGTTGATGTTTAGCACTGAATTAATAAAGCCCCTACAAGTGAAAGAAGGACTGTGTCAGAGTATAGAATTACCTGTGGGAAAAGAAAACTTTCTTCATAGGCCCTTCTCTCTCCCTCACATCAGGAAGAAAAACAGCAGCACCATCAAGAGCCAACAGGTTTATGCAAGTACAGCACAAGAACACAGATGAGGCAAAAATTGATAACCAATATAGAAGAGCTGGCCAGCCCCTGACCACTCTCTTTCCTTCACTTCTCCCCTGAGTATCTGGCTGCATTTATATCTAAGGGTGGTAGTGCCTAGAAAGGAGCAGTAGCTGAGGTAGAGGGAATAGGGGTTTGCTGAGAAGTAAGACCACCCAGGAGAGAAGCAAAGAGGGAGTAGATAATCCCTGATTGCAACATGAGAAGCTCTAGACCCTTAAAAACAACCCCAATATATTCCCTAAACCTATCCGAAGTCCTGAAAGTTGTGGTTCAGGCTTTCACTCTTCCCTAAGCCCTTCATATAACTACACCACAGTGAGGAACTAAGGTAGCTTATAGTTCTAAGGGAATATGAGATCTTGAGGAGCGGTAAGAAGAGGATAAAATGGTGTGAACAAACAAGCACTCTGAAAAGAAGTATAAAAAAACTAAGCCACCTTATAAAAATGAAGCAAAATCAGTGTCAATGGCCCAGATAACAGTAAGAACTCAAAAATAAGCATAATAAATATTCTCAACAAAAGAAAGAATATTGGAAACACAAAGCCAAGTACTTACAAATAATAACCAACTGAAGATATTAAATATAAAAGAAATAATCTTTAACATACAAAACACAATGGATTGGCTAAATGGCAGAAGGGATACAGCTAGAGGATCAATTCATTAGCTACATGGTTAAGCCAAGGATCCCTCCAAAAAGACACCAACAAAATAAAAAGATTTTATTTATTTATTTAGTTTAACCCACCTCCTACATAAGATAAAAATATTTTAAACAATAGATTAGCCGTTAAAATATGTAGAGAACAGAAACAGAAGCTTAAATATCTATCTAACAGAAGTCTCAGAATAAGAGAAAAATTTAATGGGGGAGGGCAGTATCTTAAAAAATAATTATCAAATATTACCTACAATTAAAGAAATACATAAAACCTCAGACTGAACTGGCTCAGATTCAATCAAAACATAAACATATTCTGATGCAACTTAAGAACAAAGTCAAGAGAAAAATTTAAAACTTCCAGAACGAAAAAAGATCACAGAAGAACAAAGATTAGACTGATATCAACAATTACAGAAATAAGAAGGCTGGGCACTTTGGCTCATGCCTGTAATCCCAGCACTTTGGGAGGCCAAGGCAAGTAGATCACTCAAGGTCAGAAGTTCGAAACCAGCCCGGCCAACATGGTGAAATCCTGTCTGTATTAAAAATACAAAATTAGCCATGCACAGTGGCACTTGCCTGTAGTACTAGCTATTTGGGAGGCTGAGGCATGAGAATTGCGTGAACCCAGGAGCCAGAGGTTGCAGTGAGCTGAGTTGGTACCACTGCACTCCAGCCTGGGTGAAAGAGCAAGATTCTGTCTCAAATAAATACAGAAATAAAATTATAGAAATGAGACAACAGATGATTATTGTCAAAAGTCTAAAGGAAACATGGCCTTTGAACTTGCTATTTTATAGTCAGCTAAACAACTATTTGTATTTGAGATTGAAATGAGATATCCTAAAACATCAAATAACTTGCAAAACCAAATACGCAAAGATTTCTTTGAAAGCACTCTTAGAGAAAATATTCCAATATACAGAGAAAGCCAAGAGATAAATGACTTATGAAATAAGAACAGAAAAATAATTCTAAAGTCTATTTAACTGAGCTATCACACACAATATCTATAACAGCCTGTGACTAAAGACAATTGTGGTTGGTTCGCTGGTTGGTTTGGGGAAGGAGGCAGAGAAAGAGAGGAAAGACACCAAAGGCAGATAAGAATGTTCTAAAGTATTAGAAGTGTGGCCGGGCATAGTGGCTCATGCTTGTAATCCCAACACTCTGGGAGGCTGAGGTGGGTGGATGACTTGAGGTCAGAAGTTCAAGACCAGCCTGGCCAACATGGTGAAACCCCATCTCTATTAAAAACACAAAAATTAGCCAGGCATGGTGGTACATGCCTGTAATCCTAGCTACTTATGAGGCTGAGGAAGGAGAATCACTTGAACCCAGGAGGCAGAGGTTGCAGTGAGCCAAGATTGTGCCACTGCACTCCAGCCTGGGCAACAGAGTGAGACTCCATCTCAAAAAAAAAAAAAAAAAAAAGTATTAGAGGTGTAAGTTAGAAAAGGAGAGAAGAAGAAACCATGATAAACAGAAATAAGTTCTAATAAAACAGTAATTATAAATACGTAAATTAAGTTACCAAAAAAAAGATATACATTGGGTGCTTTCAAAATTAAATGCATTAGTGTGTTATCAAGAGGGCATTTCAAAACGTGAATACAAAAGGTTAAAAATAAAGGGAGAGGCCAGGCACGGTGGCTCACACCTGTAATCTTAGCACTTTGGAGGCCAAGGTGGGTAGACTGTCTGAGCTCAGGAGTTCGACACCAACCTGGGCAACACTGTGAAACTCATCTCTACTAAAATACAAAAATTAGCCAGGCATGGTGGTGCGTGCCTGTAATCCCAACTACTTGGGAGGCTGAGGCAGGAGAATTGCTTGAACCCAGGAGGCAGAGGTTGCAGTGAGCTGAATCAACCACTGCACTCCAGCCTAGGTGACAGAGCAAGACTCCATCTCAACAAAAATAAAAATAAAATAAAAATAGAAAGAAAAAAAGAAAAGATGTTACAGTGTTAACCACAAAGAAAGGTGGGATAGGAACTTAAAAAGCAAATTAAAACATTTTTATTTTATTTTTTAAAATCTAAGTGAAAAAATAAGATTACATAGTAGCTAAAAAGAAAACATTTTTTTTTTTTGACTTTTAGTTTAGGTTTGGAGGTACATGTGAAGGTTTGTTACATAGGTAAACACGTGTCATGAGGGGATACACATTTTTAAATACATTACAATCATGAATACCTTAACGCCCAACAATGTGGCACTGAAATACTTTGAACGAGAACCAAAAGAACAACAGGGACAAACCTATCTACTTCAGATATATGTAACAAAAATATCTCAAAGACTGATATACTGAACCAACCAAAACCTAAGCAAGTTTTAGATATATCTAAAACTCTACACCAAGAAAACTGAGAATATAATTTCTTTTTGAACTTAAGAAGGCCATCACAAAAAATCAACCATGTATTGTATGCCACAAAAGAAGTCTAAATAAAATGCTGAGGAAATCAGAAATCATGAACTTTAATTTATTTGACCTTCATTATAGAAATATCTTTCTTGGATACTTGAAAAATATAAACTATTTCTCAGCAAAATAAAGAGAAGTTCAAAGAATATTTTGGTGACCTGAGGGAATACTAGAAGTGGAGACAAGCCAGATAAGGCAAAAAGTCTTCTAGCATCGAACTTTAGAAAAGAGGTTTAAAGATGATCTTAATTACAGACCCTTAACCTACATTTACTAACAGTGAGAAGAAATAAACCTTTACAGGTTAAAGTAGAAGTTGCATTGTGGAAAGGTAAATTCTTACTATATTACTGCCCTTTTATATGCAAGGCTTACTTCAACCTTCTGGAAGAACTTATACTATTTATGCAATTCCATTTAAGAAAATGTTTCAAACCAGGGCTCCAGTGGTTCTTAAGCCATGTGGAGCATCATCAAAACTACATCTTCATCCAGCAGGACAGAAAGAAACAATGCCCAGATGTCCCTGAATATCTTCTTCTCCAAATTTCTAGCAAGCTTATTCCCAGCAGTCCACAACAAGATCAATATTAGCTACTGGTCAGCTTAGAACTAGAGTAACTGACCAAAGCAGTAAAAATTCAAAGATACATAAAAGGTAAGAGACTAGAAGAGAAAAGATTAAAGAGTTATTGTTTTCAAATGTTTTCATTTGAAATGAAAACATTTGGAAACACAGAAAGCACAGCCTATCAACAGACAAATGAGAACTAAAAGAGAGGTCAGCAGAGTCGCCAGCAAAACATCAGTATGTAAAAACCAACAGTGTTCCTCTATTCAATCAAAAATAGGAAATGAAAAGATAATATTCATAAAAGCAATCAAAAGCATAAATAAATAAAAGTTAAATTAAGAAAAAAGCATGAGGACTTATAGAGAAAATTTTTAAACAATATTAAAGGACAAAATAAGTTCTGAATAAGTAGAGAGAAATATTATTATTAGGTGAAATGACTTAACATTGCCATGTTCATTCAACCCAAATTAAAGTCATTGCTGAGCTGGCAAGACAGGGCTGAAGACAAGATTGCACCATATCATACAGCTACATGTACTACAGTACTCTAGCCTCTGATCACATCAAGGAGAAACTTCCCTGGTCATGGAGCCTAAAAACTCTATAGTTTAAGGATCAGAGTTGATCCCTTCTCCCCCTAACATGTGGTCCTACTACATTTTCTGCTAGAATGCAATGGACGACAGGGACCCACATACCTGCTACTGCTCCCGTCTCCATTAATTTCCCCAGTGAATACAGATGTAGCAGGCCTGGAGTCCCTAGCCATTTTACCTTGTTTGCAAGATAGATATACATATATACGTAGCCACAAAATATATTAATATAAACTTTTAATCCCATTAAAAAGAAATTAGAATTCAGAAAACAGGAAAAATGTTTGCAACCATCACAGAACAATCTAAAATCTAAGGTAAATGCTAATTTCACTTCTTAAATAAACTTGCAATTTAACTATATTTAATATATTTAATTCCAACCTGCAATGTTTTAAGCGTTTATTAAGAGGACTCATCAACTTCCAGAATAAAATCTTCTACTGACATGTACAGCTTCTGCTGCATTTCATTTCTTTGGGCAATCAAAATATTCCCTTCATTCTGGAGGAAGAAAAAAAAGAATAACCATCATTAATACATCGGGTCTTTTCTGCATATACTTATTTGAATAAAAGTGATCTCCAAATTTAACTTTATATTCTCCAAACATAGTAGCATTTAGGACATTTCTCTCCTTAGAGCAACAAAATGACCAAAAAAAAAAAAAAAACTTTCTTTCTTAATTAAAAATAAAACATTTAAGTTCTACAACTCTGATCTGCTAATTTTTATTTTTCCCATTATTTCTGCAACAATGAAATTTTTGGGGTTTTTTTAGAGAAAATTATGTAAGTTCCTACTAACTATATATGGCCTCTCTCCTACTCCCATCCCACTCTCAACTCCTTCAGCTACTCATCCTTCAAGATACACTTAAACACCAGGAAAACCTTCCAATTTGTCCAATAGGCTGTGTTTGGAAATACATATGTGAAAGACATCCAAGAACTCTACGCATTTTCTTCATTATAGCACTTACCATACTGTATTAAAACTATATTAATATATCCATCCTGTACCCAAGAAAGAAAGAAAGGATCATGTCTTTTAAAAATTTGTATCTCTATTACTTACAACAGTGTCTGGCACATACACTTAAAAGTTTGAATTTTAGGATATTTTTTCTTGCATAAGCTCAACCAGACTATTTTACAACTATAAATAAAAAAGACCTCAAGTAAAGTCTATTGCTTTCATCATTTAAAAAAAAAAAACAAAAAACATGGCAATCAAGTTAAAGAACTATGCAAAAATACATGAATAAAAGTTAACAGTTCTAAGCCAAATTAAGTACAATAAGGGAAATAAAATAACAATTTCATTTGAGTGGCTAGTACGATTGTATATTTAGCCAATAATCTACTCTTCCATCTATCAAGTAAACTTTAAGTCCAGAAACATAAGCAGTAGTAGAAAAAAAATCTGCTTTCAAAAAAAGTCACATCTGTACTAATAGAATACTAAGTGCTAAAGTACCATCCTGAATACTTTCACTATGCTCAAACCACAAAAACAAATAAGGCAGGGTTTTTTTTCATCTTATATGAAAATACATTATGAAGTATTTTAATATCAACAGTGTGGTTTAAATAGAAAGAGAATAGACTTTGCTGTCAGATATGTCTGGGTTCAAGTTCCATATTAACATTTAGAACTAGGGTCCGGGCATGGTGGCTAACACCTGCAATCCCAGGACTTTGGGAGGCTGAGGCAGGAGAATTACTTGAGCCAAGGAGTTCAAGACCTGTCTGGACAACATGATAAAACCCTATCACTACAAAAAGTACAAAAAAATTAGCCAGGCATGGTTGGTAGTGCATGCCTGTAGTCCTAGCTACTTGAGAGGCTGAAGTGGGAGAATCACTTGTGCCCAGGAGGTTGAGGCTGCAGTGTGCTGTGATCGTGCCACTGCACTCCAGCCTGGGTGACAGAGAGACCATACCTCAAAAAAAAAAAAAAGAATAATTTTTTAATTAAAAAAAAAAATAGAACTAGGTAATCTTGAACAATTTCCTTACCCTTGTAAGCCTGTTTCCTCACTTATAAAATGGGAGCACATATACCCATTTTAAAAGTTAATGTAAGAAAATGCTTATAAACACACTGCCTGTGTTTCATAGAAATTAAAAAATTATTCTGCTATCACCTTCTTTCTTCCATAATCAGAAGTGATCAGTTAAAATCTAACATATAAAATAACCAAAATCTAATCCCTTCTCCAAACTAAACATTCCTGGCATTTTCAAAAGCCTAGTTATCCTGCTCATACTTCTCATTCAGAGCCAGTCAGGCTGCCAACTGGTCAACCTAGGTATGATTAGGGAGTAAGATTTACAGGGTGTAATCCACAGAGACAGAAACCACAAATACTTAAGATGGAACAAGTCCAAACACAACAAGTATAGAGCTCATAGGTGCTAGGGAAAGTTGTGGTGGTAGTAGGGAATGGTTTATAAGAAAAACAGGAAGTTCAGTTCAGTTCAATACAATAAACTAAAGAAAACTGCAACAGGAAATAAATATACTTGCACCTAAGCTAATAAAGAACTTATGTGAAATGTTTCATTGTCATACCCCTACTCACACACACACACAAACTACCTCCCAACAATAGGTGACTCAGACACTAATTAATAGTAAGGCAGAGTCTTATATGCATAAAACACACCACTCAGTCCAGAAAAGATCTACATTAGCATGTATGAAAGCCACTCTGGTTTACAAGCCTAATGTCCTTCAAAAGCCAGTCTCTTATAACAACTCCATAGGTATAGCTTCCAGGGTCCCTCAAGGGGCATGTCTAGTTGCAAGAGTCCATATCAAGTATTTGTAGTTTGTAGTTCCTCCCAGTACAGATGCAATCTGACAATCGTAAGTTATATTTACCATAAATAATGTTGCCTGGTAATAGCGTTGAAATATTTTATCATATTACCAAGGGAACAAAGACAGGGAGTTAACCAAAGGTCAAGTTTTCATGCAAAAGGGGAAAAGATTTTGTTACCCCTTATCCACAATCACCAGTTGTCTATTACACCTTTCTTACAAGGCTATAAATGAAGCAAATTATTAATATGAAGATACTGTAAAAGTTAAAGATTTTATATAAACTATCATTATAATATCTGCAGTTCCTTTCTTTTTAGAAAGATAACATTTCCTGAGTTCTAATTTGATTACACTGTGATCTGAGACACTGTTTGCTATGATTTCAGTTCTTTTGCATTTGCTGAAGAGTGTTTTACTTCCAATTATGTGGTCGATTCTAGAATAAGTGCCAAGTGGCACTGAGAAGAATGTATGTTCGGTTGATTTGGGGTAGAGAATTCTGCAGACATCTAACAGGTCCACTTGATCCAGAACTGAGTTCAAGTCCTGAATATTCTTGTTAATTTTCTGTCTCGATCTAATACTGACAGTGGGGTGTTAAAGTCTCCCATTATTATTGTGTGGGAGTCTAAGTCTCTTTGTAGATCTCTAAGAACTTGTTTTATGAATCTGGGTGCTCCCTGGTTGCATAGATATTCAGAATAGTTACCTCTTCTTGTTGAACTGTTCCCTTTACCATTATGTAATGCCCTTCTTTGTCTTTTTTAATCTTTGTTGATTTAAAGTTTGTTTTGTCAGAGACTAGGACTGCAACCCCTGCTTTCTTTTGATTTCTATTTGCTTGGAAAATTTTCCTCCATCCCTTTATTTTGAGCCTGTATGTGTTTTTGTGTGGAAGATGGGTCTCCTGAATACAGCACACCTATGAGTCTTGACCACTTAGCCAATTTGCCAGTCTGTGTCTTTTAATTGGGGAATTTAGCCCATTTACATTTAAGGTTAGTATTGCTCACTCAAAACCACATAATTTCATGGAAATTGAACAACCTGCTCCTGAATGATTCCAGGGTAAATAATCAAATTAAGGCAGAAATCAAGAAGTTCTTTGAAACCAATGAGAACAAAGAGACAATCTACCAGAATCTCTAGGACATAGCTCAAGTAGTGTTGAGAGAAATTTATAGCACTAAATGCCCACATCAGAAAGCTAGAAAGATCTCAAATCAACACCTTAACATCACAATTAAAAGAACTAGAAAGGCAAGAGTAAACGAACCCAAAAGCTAGCAGAAACAAGAAATAATATCAGAGAAGAATTACAGGAGATAGAAACACACACCACATACACAAACCCTCCAAAAAAATCAATGAATCCAGGATGTTTTTTTTTTGAAAAAATTAACAAAATAGACCACTAGCTAGACTAATAAAGAAGGAGAGAAGAATCAAATAAGACTCAATAAAAATATGTTAAAGGAGTATCACCACTGACCCCACAAAAATACCAACTACCTTCAGAGAATACTATAAACACCTCTACACAATAAACTAGAAAATCTAGAAGAAATGAATAAATTCTTGGATGCCTACCCCTACCCAAGACTAAACCAGGAAGAAGTTGAATCCCTGAATAGACCAATAACAAACTCTAAAATTGAGGCAGTAATTAACAGTCTACCAACCAAAAAAAGCCCAGGACCAGACAGATTCACAGCTGAATTCAACCAAGATACAAAGGACAGCTGGTACCATTCCTTTGAAACTATTCCCAACAAGTGAAAAGGACTGACTCCTTCCTACTCATTTATGAAGCCAGCATTATTCTGATACCCAAACCGGTAAGAGACACAACAAAAAAAAAGAAAACTTCAGGCCAATTCCCTGATGAACATCATGCAAAATCCTCAATAAAATACTGACAAACTGAAACCAGCAGCACATCAAAAAACTTATCCACCACGATCAATCTGCTTCATCCCTGGGATGCAATGCTGGTTCAACATACGCAAATCAATAAATGTAATCTAGCACATAAACGGAACTAATGACAAAAACCACATGACTATCTCAATAGACGCAGAAAGGGCTTTGATAATATTCAACATCGCTTCATGTTAAAAAACTCTCAACAAACTAAGTATTGACAGAACATATCTCAAAATAATAAAAGTAATTTATGACAAACCCACAACCCTCAAATTGAATGAGCAAAAAGCTGGAAGCATTCCCTTTGAAAACCAGTACAAGACAAGGATGCCCTCTCTCACCACTCCTATTCACCAGAGTATTGGAAGTTCTGGACAGGGCAATCAGGCAAAGAAAGAAATAAAGGGTATTCAAATAGGAAGAGAGGAAGACAAGTTGTCTGTTTGCAGATGACATGATTTTATATTTAGAAAACCCCATCGTCTCAGCCCAAATCTTCTTGAAATGATAGGCAACTTCAGCAAAGTCTCAGGAATACAAAGTAAATGTGCAAAAATCACAATCATTCCTACACACCAACAATAGGCAAGCAAAGAGCCAAACCATGAATGAACCCCCATTCACAAGTGTTACAAAAGAATAAAATACCTAGGAATACAGCTAATAAGGGATGTGAAGGACCTCTTCAAGAAGAATTACAAACCACTGCTCAAGGAAATAAGAGAGGACACAAACAAATGGAAAAATATTCCATCCTCATGGATAGAAAAAGACTCAAGATCATGAAAATGGCCATACTGCCCAAGTAATTTATAGAATCAATGCTATTCCCATCAAGCTACACTGACATTCTTCAAAGATTTAGGAAAAACTATTTTAAATTTCATATGGAATCAAAGAAAGACCTCTTATAACCAAGATAATCCTAATCAAAAGGAAGAATGCTGGAGGCATCAAGCTACCTGACTTCAAACTATACTACAAGGTGACAGTAACCAAAACAGCATGCTACTGGTACCAAAACAGACATACAGACCAATGGAGCAGAATAGAAACCCCAGAAATAACACCACACATCTACAACCATCTGATCTTTGACAAACCTGACAAAAACAAGTAATTGGGAAAGCATCTCCTATTAAGTAAATGGTGCTGGGAAAACGAGACATATGCAGAAAACTGAAACTGAACCCCTTCCTTACACTTTACACAAAAATTAACTCTAGATGGATTAAAGACTGAAATGTAAAACCTAAAATATAAAAACCCTAGAAGAAAACCTAGGCAATAGCATTCAGGACATAGGTATGGGCAAAGACTTCATGACAAAAACAACAAAAGCAATTGCAACACAAGTCAAAATTGACAAATGGGATCTAATTAAACTAAAGAGTTTCTGCACAGCAAAAGAAACTATCATCAGAGTGAACAGGCAACCTGTTCTCCTGAACAGGAGAAAATTTTTGCAATTTACCCATCTGACAAAGTCTAATATCCAGAATCTACAAGGAACTTAAACATATTTACAGGAAAAAGACAACCCCATCAAAAAGTGAGCAAAGGATATGAACAGGCACTTCTCAAAGGAAGACATTTATGTGGCCAACAAACATATGAAAAAAAAGCTGAACATCAATAATCATCAGAGAAATGCAAATCAAAACCACAAAGGGATACCACTTCATACCAGTTAGAATGGCGATCATTAAAGTCAGGAAACAATAGATGCTGGAGAGGATGTGGAGAAGTACGAACACTTTACACTGTTGGTGGGAATGTAAATTAGTTCAACCATTATGGAAGATGATATGGCAATTTCTCAAGGATCTAGAACCAGAAATACCATTCAACCCAGCAATCCCATTACTGGTATATACCCAAAGGAATATAAATCATCCTGCTATAAAGATACATGCACAAGTATGTTATTGCAGCACTATTTACAATAGCAAAGACTTGGAACCAACCCAAATCCCCATCAATAATAGACTGGATAAAGAAAATGTGTTACATATACACCATGGAATACGATGCAGCCATAAAAAGGAATGAGTTCATGTCCTCTGCAGTGACATGATGAAGCTGGACGCCATCATCTTCGGCAAACTAACACAGGAATAGAAAACCAAACACCGCATGTTTTTACTCATAAGTGGGAGCTGAACATTAAGAACACATGGACACAGAGAGGGAAGCAATACACACCAGGGCTTATTGGGGGGTGGGAGGGTGACGGGAGGGAATTAGAGGACAGGTCAATAAGTGCAGCAAACCACACGGCACATGTATACCTATGTAACAAACCGGCACATTCTGCACATGTATCCTGTTGTTGTTTTTTTTTAGAAGAAATTAAAAAAAAAATTTCCTTATGTCAACAGATAAAAACTATAATAGAGAAAATTCTCAACCTAACCACATATTCACAAGTTTTAATCTTCTCCTGAGCCAGATTGTATTCTGCCCATATTTTCTCTAATCCATTCAAAGAAGCTGGAGTAGTAAAGCACCCTTCATCCAACACTTGTATAGCATCTGAAAGGTCATTTCCGAAACGAACACTGATGCCGACATGCCTATTTTTAAAAACAACAAAAGAAAAAGATCAATACATTAGAAAGCTGATGGAGAAAAAGTTACACTTTAATAGTAATGGTCTAAACTTATTGTTTATAGCACTGGCTTTTGAAGAGGTATTTTTAAAACTTTATATAAAATCATGTATAACTTATATTTTTCAGTCCACGTGTTTTATGCAGATATGCATAATATAAACTTTAATTAAAAAACATTGTGAATATACTAATTTCATGACACAAAAATATGAAAAAAATTAAAAATTTTTTAAACTATAAAAAAGGCAACATTGAAAGTCTGCAGAATTTGAAATGGTATCAAATGAAGCTTCAATTTTTGGTCTACAAATAATTTACAAAGTCTAAGAGAAAAGACATATAAGAAACCCACTTACCATAGGCTAACTGATCTAAACAAGAGTTAAGTTCCTACGGTATATTTTTTAGTCACAAAAACATCACTTCTAAATAAAGACCCAAAACATTTCTAATATTAAACACTGAAATACATGTGTCCTCTAGATACATATAAGAAAAAGCAATAAAAACAACTAAGATAGAGGGGGCGCGCCCAAGATGGCCAAATAGGAACAGCTCCAGCCTCCAGCTCCCAGTGTGTGACAGAGAAGACAGGTGATTTCTGCATTTTCAACTGAGGCACCAGGTTCATCTCACTGGGGAGTGCCAGACAATCGGTGCTGGTGAGCTGGTGCAGCCCGACTAGCGAGAGCTGAAGCAGGGCGAGGCATCGCCTCACCTGGGAAGCACAAGGGGGAAGGGAATCCCTTTTCCTAGCCAAGGGAAACTCAGACACACAACACCTGGAAAATCGGGTAACTCCCACCCTAATACTGCACTTTACCAAGGGTCTTAGCAAACGGCACGCCAGGAGATTATATCCCACACCGAGCCCAGAGGGTCCCACGCCCACGGAGCCTCCTTCATTGCTAGCACAGCAGTCTGAGATCTAACTGCAAGGCAGCAGTGAGGCTGGGGGAGGGGCGCCCACCATTGCTGAGGCTTAAGTAGGTAAACAAAGCCACCAGGAAGCTCGAACTGGGTAGAGCCCACCACAGCTCAAGGAGGCCTGCCTGCCTCTGTAGACTCCCCCTCTGGGGACAGGGCATAGCTAAACAAAAAGCAGCAGAAACCTTGGCAAAGGTAAATGCCCCTGTCTGATAGCTTTGAAGAGAGCAGTGGATCTCCCAGCACAGAGTTGAGATCTGAGAATGGACAGACTGCCTGCTTAAGCGGGTCCCTGACTCCTGAGTAGCCTCACTGGGAGACATCCCGTACTAGGTGCAGACCTACACCTCACACCTCACACAGTGGGGTTCAAACCTCAGACGAAGCTTCCAGAGCAAGAACCCAGACAGCAACACTCGCTGCTCAGCAATATTCTATCTTCTGCAGCCTCTGCTGCTGATACCCAGGCAAATAGGGTCTGGAGTGGACCTCAAGCAAATTCCAAAGACCTACAGCTGAGGGTCATGACTGTTAGAACAAAAACTAACAAACAGAAAGGACACCCACACCAAAACCCCATCAGTACATCACTATCATCAAAGACCAAAGGCAGATAAAACCACAAAGATGGGGAAAAAGCAGGGCAGAAAAGCTGGAAATTCAAAAAATCAGAGCACATCTCCCCCTCCAAAGGAATGCAGCTCATCACCAGCAACGGAACAAAGCTGGATGGAGAATGACTTTGACAAGTTGAGAGAAGAAGGCTTTAGTCGATCAAACTTCTTAGAGCTAAAGGAGGAACTACGTAACCAGCGCAGGGAAACTTTAACCTTGAAAAAAGAATGGATGAATGGATAACTAGAATAATCAATGCAGAGAAGACCTTAAAAGAAGTGATAGAGATGAAAACCATAACACGAGAAAATACGTGACAAATGCACAAGCTTCAGTAACCGACTCAATCAACTAGAAGAAAGAGTATCAGCGATTGAAGATCAAATAAATGAAATGAAGCGAGAAGAGAAGCATGGAGAAAAAAGAGTAAAAAGAAATGAACAAAGCCTCCAAGAAGTATGGGATTATGTGAAAAGACAAAATCTACGTCTGACTGGTGTGCCTGAAAGTGACAGGGAAAAGGGAATCAACTTGGAAAACACTCTGCAGGATATCATCCAGGAGAACTTCCCCAACCTAGTAAGGCAGGCCAACATTCAAATTCAGGAAATACAGAGAATGCCACAAAGATACTCCTCGAGAAGAGCAACTCCAAGACACATAATTGTCAGATTCACAAAAGTTGAAATGAAGAAAAAATTGTTAAGGGCAGCCAGAGAGAAAGGTCGGGTTACACACAAAGGGAAGCCCATCAGACTAACAGTAGATCTCTCGGAAGAACTCTACAAGCCAGAAGACAGTGGGGGCCAACATTCAACATTCTTAAAGAAAAGAATTTTCAACCCAGAATTTCATATCCAGCCAAACTAAGTTTCATACGTGAGGGGAAATAAAATCCTTTACAGACAAGCAAATGCTTAGAGATTTTGTCACCACCAGGCCTGCCCTACAAGAGATCCTGAAGGAAGCACTAAACATGGAAAGGAACAACCGGTACCAGCCATTGCAAAAACATGTCAAAATGTAAAGTCCATTGATGCTAGGAAGAAACTCCATCAACTAACGAGCAAAATAACCAGCTAATATCATAATGACAGGATCAAGTTCACACATAACAATATTAACTTAAAGGTACATGGACTAAATGTCTCAATTAAAAGACACAGACTGGAAAATTGGATAAAGAGTCAACACCCATCAGTCTGCTGTATACAGGAGACCCATCTCACATGCGGAGACACATAGGCTCAAAATAAAGGGATGGAGGAAGATCTACCAAGTAAATGGAAAACAAAAAAAGGCAGGGGTTGCAATCCTAGTCTCTGATAAAACAGACTTTAAACCAACAAAGATCAAAAGAGACAAAGAAGGCCATTACATAATGGTAAAGGGATCAATTCAACAAGAAGAGCTAACTATCCTAAGTATCTATGCACCCAATACAGGAGCACCCAGATTCATAAAGCAAGTCCTTAGAGACTTACAAAGAGACTTAGACTCCCATACAATAATAATGGGAGACTTTAACACCCCACTGTCAACATTAGACAGATCAACAAGACAGAAAGTTAACAAGGATATCCAGGAATTGAACTCAACTCTGCACCAAGTGGACCTAATAGACATCTACAGAACTCTCCACCCCAAATCAACAGAATATACATTCTTCTCAGCACCACACTGCACTTATTCCAAAATTGACCACATAAGTTGGAAGTAAAGCACTCCTCAGCAAATGTGAAAGAACAGAAATTATAACGAACTGTCTCTCAGACCACAATGCAATCAAACTAGAACTCAGGACTAAGAAACTCAACCAAAACCACTCAACTAACATGGAAACTGAACAACCTGCTCCTAAATGACTACTGGGTACATAACAAAATGAAGGCAGAAATAAAGATGTTCTTTGAAACCAATGAGAACAAAGATACAACGTACCAGAATCTCTGGGACACATTTAAAGCACTGTGTAGAGGGAAATTTATAGCACTAAACGCCCACAAGAGAAAGTAGGAAAGATCTAAAATTGACACCCTAACATCGCAATTAAAAGAACTAGAGAAACAAGAGCAAACACATTCAAAAGCTAGCAGAAGGCAAGAAATAACTAAGATCAGAGCAGAACTGAAGGAGATAGACATAAAAAATCCTCCAAAAAAATCAATGAATCCAGGAGCTGGTCTTTTGAAAAGACCAACAAAATTGATAGACTACTAGCAAGACTAATAAAGAAGAAAAGACAGAAGAATCAAATACACTCAATAAAAAATGATAAAGGGGGTATCACCAGCGACCCCACAGAAATACAAACTACCATCAGAGAATACTACAAACACCTCTACACAAATAAACTAGAAAAACCTAGAAGAAAGAGATAATTTCCTGGACATATACACCCTCCCAAGACTAAACCAGGAAGAAGTTGAATCCCTGAATAGACCAATAGCAGGCTCTGAAATTGAGGCAATAATTAATAACCTACCAACCAAAAAAAGTCCAGGACCAGACGGATTCACAGCCGAATTCTACCAGAGGTACAAGGAGGAGTTGGTACCATTCCTTCTGAAACTATTCCAATCAACAGAAAAAGAGGGAATCCTCCTAACTCATTTACGAGGCCAACATCATCCTGATACCAAAGCCTGACAGAGATACAACAAAAAAAGAGAATTTTAGACCAATATCCCTGATGAACATCGATGCAAAAATCCTCAATAAAATACTGGCAAACCGAATCCAGCAGCACATCAAAAAGCTTATCCACCATGATCAAGTGGGCTTCATCCCTGGGATGCAAGGCTGATTCAACATATGCAAATCAATAAACATAATCCAGCATATAAACAGAACAAATGACAAAAACCACATGATTATCTCAACAGATGCAGAAAAGGCCTTTGAAAAAATTCAACAGTCCTTCATGCCAAAACCTCTCAATAAATTCGGTATTGATGGAACGTATCTCAAAATAATAAGAGCTATTTATGATATACCCACAGCCAATATTATACTGAATGGGCAAAACCTGGAAGCATTCCCTTTGAAAACCGGCACAAGACAGGGATGCCCTCTCTCACCACTCCTGTTCAACATAGTGTTAGAAGTCTGGCCAGGACAATCAGTCAGGAGAAAGAAATAAAGAGTATTCAATTAGGTAAAGAGGAAGTCAAATTGTCACTGTTTGCAGATGACATTATTGTATATTTAGAAAACCCTATTGTCTCAGCCCAAAATCTCCTTAAGCTGATAAGCAACTTCAGCAAAGTCTCAGGATACAAAATCAATGTGCAAAAATCACAAGCATTCTTATACACAAGTAACAGACAAACAGAGCCAAATCATGAATGAACTCCCATTCACAATAGCTTCAAAGAGAATAAAATACCTAGGAATCCAACTTACAAGGGATATAAAGGACCTCTTCAAGGCGAACTACAAACCACTGCTCAGTGAAATAAAAGAGGACACAAATAAATGGAAGAACACACCATGCTCATGGATAGAAAGAATCAATATTGTGAAAATGGCCATAATGCCCAAGGTAATTTATAGATTCAATGCCATCCCCATCAAGCTACCCATGACTTTCTTCACAGAATTGGAAAAAGTGCTTTAAAGTTCATATGGAACCAAGAAAGACCCTGCATTGCCAAGACAATCCTAAGCCAAAAGAAAAAGCTGGAGGCATCACGCTACCTGACTTTAAACTATAGTATGAGGCTACAATAACCAAAACAGCATGCTACTGTTACCAAAACAGAGAGATAGACCAATGGAACAGAACAGAGCCCTCAGAAATAATACCACACATCTACAGCCATCTGATCTTGACAAATCTGACAAAAACAAGAAATGGGGAAAGGATTCCCTATTTAACAAATGGTGCTGGGAAAATTGGCTAGCCATAAGTAGATAGCTGAAACTGGATCCTTTCCTTACTCCTTATACGAAAATTAATTCAAGATGGATTAGAGACTTAAATGTTAGACCTAAAACCATAAAAACCCTAGAAGAAAACCTAGGTAATACCATTCAGGACATAGGCATGGGCAAGGACTTCATGTCTAAAACACCAAAAGCAACGGCAACAAAAGCCAAAATTGACAAATGGGATCTAATTAAACTAAAGAGCTTCTGCACAGCAAAAGAAACTACCATCAGAGTGAAGAGGCAACCTACGGAACGGGAGAAAATGTTTGCAATCTACTCATCTGACAAAGGGCTAATATCCAGAACCTATAAAGAACTCAATCAAATTTACAAGAAAATAACAAACAACCCCATCAAAAAGTGGGCAAAGGATATGAACAGACACTTCTCTAAAGAAGACATTCATACAGCCAACAGACACGTGAAAAAATGCTCATCATCACTCGCCATCAGAGAAATGCAAATCAAAACCACAATGAGATACCATCTCACACCAGTTAGAATGGCAATCATTAAAAAAATCAGGAAACAACAGGGGCTGGAGAGGATGTGGAGAAATAGGAACACTTTTACACTGTTGGTGGGACTGTAAACTAGTTCAACCATTGTGGAAAACAGTGTGGCGATTCCTCAAGGATCTAGAACTAGAAACACCATTTGACCCAGCCATCCCATTACTGGGTCTATACCCAAAGGATTATAAGTCATGCTGCTATAAAGACACATGCACATGTATGTTTATTGAGGCACTATTCACAGTAGCAAAGACTTGGAATCAACCCAAATGTCCATCAGTGACAGACTGGATTAAGAAAATGTGGCACATACACACCATGGAATACTATGCAGCCATAAAAAAGGATGAGTTCGTGTCTTTTGTAGGGACATGGATGCAGCTGGAAACCATCATTCTCAGCAAACTATCACAAGAACAGAAAACGAAGTACCGCATGTTCTCACTCATAGGTGGGAACTGAACAATGAGATCACTTGGACACAGGAAGGGGAGCATCACACACAGGGTCCTATTGTGGGGACGGGGGAGGGACAGAATTAGGAGATATACCTAATGTAAATGACGAGTTAATGGGTGCAGCACACCAACATGGCACATGTATACATATGTAACAAACCTGCACATTGTGCACACGTACCCTAGAACTTAAAGTATAATAAAAATAAAATAAAAAATAAAATAAAAATAAAAAAAGCTAAGATAATTATTTACCCAAACTTTGGTGAATGAGTGGGTGACAGTAGGGTTAAATCAAGGAATAAATGTTTGCAAAGCGAAAATTGTAAGAAGCACCCCCTACCACCACAGGTTCAAAAACAAACAATAACAAATACAGTGGGCTCACTGAATGCTTTCATGCCGCATTGTTTATTGCAAAGGCATCTGTATGATTCTTGCATACTTTACCAATTTTTATTTTATGATAATTTGTATATATTCATTCACTCATTCATTTTCCAACCTGCTTAATCCAATCCAGGGGTCACAGGTGGCCACAACTATCTCAGCAGCTCAGAGCATTAAGGTGGGAACCAAACCTGGACATGACACCATTGCACTGCAGGACACACTCACGCTCATCCACACTCACTCATACTGGGACAATACAGACACACCAATTCACCTAAGTGGGATGTGAGAGAAAACCACAGTATTCCAAGAAAACCACCCAAATATGGAGAGAATGTGCAAATTCCACACAGACAGTGGGGCTCCAGCTAGAAATTTATTTTCTTCTTCAATGTTAAATGAAATAATGTTGAATGAAAACACGTTATTCAAGGACGGGGTATACTCCTGAAAATAACCCCAAGCAAAATAACTGGATATGGCAGTTTCCCATCAAACTATCACTTAAAAGCTATGTTGCTGTTTTTTCAATTTCAGTCTCAGTTATGACCTTAGAACACTATAGCTCCAAGCAGTGACAACAGAAAACTGACAAAAACAGTATAAAATTCATCTCAGAAATAACTATCTTTAATTTCTCTCCTTGAAGTCATAAAAATACAAAGGTTAAATTTTAAAGCAAAAATGGCAGGCATACAATTTAAATAAACAAACAACCACTGATTAACAATTAGCTTAAAATATCCTTCTGAAAAATATGCTTTTTACCTCATTTCTTTCAGTATTTCCATCTTAGCTGACAGATTTTTCATTCTGGTATCTATACAGGTCTTCAGAGTGCTTTCTAAGTGATTAGTCAAATCCACAGCAGCTGCTTTCTCTTGCTGAAACAAAGAATAAGCACATCCTAGTGTGACCCAAATAGGAAACTGTATTTCTGCTATAATTTAAATAATTTTTAGCTGGACATAGTGGCTCACGCCTGTAATTCCAACACTTTGGGAGGCCAGGGAGGGCAGATGGCTTGAGCTCAAAAGTTTGAGACCAGCCTGGACAACACAACAAAACCCCGTCTCCACAAAAAATACATGGGTGTGGTGGTGCGTGCCTGTAGTCTTAGCTACTTAGGAGGCTAAGGTGAGAGGATGGCCAGAGCTAGGGAGGCAGAGGTTGCAGTGAGTCGAGATTGTGCCCAGCACTCTAGCCTAGGCAACAAAGTCAGATTCTGTCTCAAAAAAAAAAAAAAAAAAAAAAAAGTTTCCAAATTTGAATAAAATAGAATCCAGCTGCTGATTTTTATTTCAAATTAATATTTATTTTTAACTGCTTCAGTTAAATAAAGAATGAAGGCTTTAATGATTCTAAGCAAACTATATATTATCACTCTTGGCACAGCATTTCAGAATTCATTCATCTTTTTTTGGTGCTATGTCTTTTTTTAAATTGTGGTAAAATATAGGTAACATAAAATTTATCATTTTAACCATTTTAAAATGTATAGTTCTGTTACATTAGGTACATTCATATTGTTGTGTAATCATCAGCACCATCCATCTCCAGAACTTTTTCATCTTTCCTAATTATAACTCTGTATCTATCAAACACTACTCCCTATCTCCCTTCCCCCAAGCCCCTGGAAACCACCATTCAACTTTGGGTCCCTACAGATTTGACTGCTCTAGGAACTTCGAATAAAAATACTACATGCAAATATGCCTATATTAATGTCAAGCAACAACTCCCTTTGGCACAAGGAGTATTTTCTTTTTTTTTTTTTTTTTTAAATTTATTTATTATTATTATACTTTAAGTTGTAGGGTACATGTGCATAACGTGCAGGTTTGTTACATATGTATACTTGTGCTATGTTGGTGTGCTGCACCCATCAACTCATCATTTACATCAGGTATAACTCCCAATGCAATCCCTCCCCCCTCCCCCCTCCCCATGATAGGCCCCTGTGTGTGATGTTCCCCTTCCTGAGTCCAAGTGATCTTATTGTTCAGTTCCCACCTATGAGTGAGAACATGCGGTGTTTGGTTTTCTGTTCTTGTGATAGTTTGCTAAGCACTATTCACAATAGCAAAGACTTGGAATCAACCCAAATGTCCATCAGTGACAGACTGGATTAAGAAAATGTGGCACATATACACCATGGAATACTATGCAGCCATCAAAAAGGATGAGTTTGCGTCCTTTGTAGGGACATGGATGCACAAGGAGTATTTTCTAAGCAATAAAGAGAGACATTTCATAAAGATAAATGGGTCAATTCATCAAAAAGATCCAACAATTCTAAATGTATACTTGCATAATAACAGAGCTTTTTAAAAAATCACAAAATCTGATAGAACAAAAGGGAATAAAACAGACAAAACTACAATAATATTTAGATTTCAATACTTCTCTCTCAGTAGTTGATTGAACAAGTAGAGAGAGAATCTGTCAGGGTCTAAAAGACTTGAAGCCCACTATCAAGCAATTCAGCCTAATATTTATAAAGCACTCCACCCAACAACTTATAGGATACACATAACTTTTAAAAATGAATGGAACATTTCCAGACAGACCATATGCTGGGTAATGAAACAAATGTCAATAAATTTAAAAGAACTGAAACCTGAGTATGCTCTCTGATACCAATAAAATTAAATTAGAAATCAGTAACAAAATATATTGCGGGAACCACTGAGTATTTATCCAAAAGAACGGAATTAACATGCACTCCTAAGTTTACTGCAGCACTATCACAATATCAAAGACATGGAATCAACCTAAGTGTCCATCAATGGATCAAGAAAATGCAGTATATATACAATGGAATACATTCAGCCATAAACATGAATGAAATCCTGTCATTTGCAGCTACATGGATGGAACTGGATGTCATTCTGTTAAACAGGCACAGAAAGACAAATATTTTACATTCTTGTTAATATGTAGGAGCTAAAAAAGTTGATCTCATGGAGGTAGAGAGTGGAATGATAGATATCAGAGGCTAGGAAGGGTGTGTTAGGGACAGAAGAATAAAGAGAGGTTGGTTAATAAGTACAAACATGCAGTTAGATAGAAGGGTAAGTTCTAATGTTTGATAGCAGATGACTATAGTTAACAATGTATTGTATATTTCAAATAGCAAGAAGAGAAATGTCTTGAAATGTTCCCAACACACAGAAATGATAAATCCTTGAGGTGATCGATATCCTAAATACCTACACCTGATCATTACACATTCTAGGCATATGAAAAAATATCACACATACACCAGTAAATATATACAAATACGATGTACCAAGAAAAAATAAAATATATATTGGGGAAATCTTCAAATTTGTGGAAATTAAGCACATGCTTCTAAATAGTTCATAGTTCAAAACAGGAGTCACAAGGAAATGTTTTAAATATGCTTCACTAAATAATAAACAAAACATATCAAAATTTGTGGTTTGTAAATAAAGCAATGCTTAGAAAGAAATATTTATCTCTAAAAGTATATTATAAAGAACAAAAGATTTAAAACAATAATATGGAGGACTTCAGGTTTTGGTTTCACATGTAAGGAGCCTGGAAGTCACTATGCCATCCTAACACATTAAAAAGCTGAACAAAGTGAAAATCAACAACTTTTCTCAGATCTGTAAGAAAAGGTGAGATAGGTAGGGTCATAGGGAAAACCGCTAATCCTAAAATTAGACAGACAGGGATACAGAGAATCACAATATAGTGGAACAGAAATTTCTACAGGAAGCAATGCCTAGATAGGAAAATCTGGACTTCTGACAAACTGCTGGAAACTAGGTGTGGGCAAGACTGAGAGTTGAAAGCTCCAGGGGCATCTAGTCATGCTGGCCCCCATGCTTTTGTGAGTTTTACCTCCAGGAGTTAGATCAGGTTCTCACAGTAAATACAGTATCATACATATCATTGCAGTAAAATCCCCTCATGCTTCCAGCAGTGAGAGGGGAAAACAAACCATTTTGAAATATCCCAGAGCACTATGTACTTCTTAATAAGATCTACCCTGGAAAGAAACCAGTTAACCACAGCCTAACCTGCTGAGGTTTCACCAAAGCCTACCCGACCTGGGGGAAGGAAATATCCAACTGCAGCCAGCTCTATCCTTCCACATGGAAGGAGGTAAATACCCAATTCTATCCTATTCTACCATACTATCCCACCTAAAGGGGGAGGAAAAAAATGAGAAACGCTTGTGAATTCACAGGCCAGAGGCATAGACTCACAAAAAGACTGAGATCTAATCACAGGACTATACAACACATCACTCCCCTGTATATCTTACAACTACATTATTAAAGACATAATTAAACCAATTGCTTTTTTACCTGATATATCATATACAGTTATCAAGAAAAAATTACAGCCAGGCACAGTGGCTAATGCCTGTAATTCCAGCACTTTGGGAGGCTGAGGTGGGTGAACTGCTTGAGCCCGGGAATTCAAGACCAGCCTGGACGATATGACAAAATGGTCTCTACCCAAAAAAAAAAAAAAAGTGCAAAAATTAGCCAGGCATGGTGGTGCACACCTGTAGTCCCAGCCTCCCACTCAGGAGGCTGAGGTGGGAGGATCACTTGAGTCCAGGAGGTGGAGGTTGCAGTGAGCCAAGATCATACCACTGCATTCCAGACTAGACAACAGGGCAAGACCCTGTCTCAAACCAAAAAAAAAAAAAAAAAGAAAAAGAAAAAATTATAAACTAAAGAAAAACTCAGAACCAGATGTGGAAGGGATGTTGGAATTATCAGACAATGAGTTTAAAACAACTATGATTAATATGCTATGCATTATAATGGAGAAAATAGATAGCATGTAGTAACAACAGATGGGCAATGTAAGCAAAGAGATGGAAATCCTAAGAATGAACCAAAAAGAAGTGTTGGAAATCAAAACACTGTAACAGAAATCAAAAATGCCTTCAATGGACATCCTAGTAGACTGGACGTGGCTGACAAAAGAACCCCAAAACTGAGAAGCAATGACAACAGACTCAAAAGAAACAACAGAAGACCTAAGAATTGTGGGACAACTACAAATCATGTAACATATGAGTAATGAGAATGCCAAAAGGAAAAGAAATACCTAAAACGATACTGACTGAGAATTTTCCTAAACCAAAACATGGATCCAAGAAGCTCAAAGACCACTAAGCTGAATGAATGCAAATAATAATAACAATAAAACTAAACATATCATTTTCAAACTACAGAAAATCAAAGATAAAGAAAAAATCTCAAAGAAGCCAGAGGGCAAAAAACAGCTTACCTATAGAGGAGTAAAAGTAAGAATTATACTCAACATCTGATATACTTTGGATGTTTGCCCCCTCCAAATCTCATGTTTAAATGTAATCTCCAGTGTTAGAGGTGGGGCCTAGTGGGAGGTACTGGTTCATGGGGCAGATCCCTCATGGACGGCTTAGCACCATCCTCTTGGTGGCGAGTTCTCACTCAGTTCACACGAGATTTGGTTAGGACTGACCCCTTCCCTCCCTTGCTCCCCTCTGCTTGCTCCCTCTCTCCCCATGTGATAAGCTGGCTCCCCTTTGCCTTCAGCCAGGATGGTAAGTTTCTTAAGGCCCTCACCAGAAGCAGATTCTGGCACCATGTTTTCTATATAGCCTGCAAAACCATGAGCCAATATAAACCTCTTTTCTTTACAGTCAGTCTCAGATATTCCTTTATAGCAATGAAAACGAATATAACATCTCCTTGGCAAGCATGCAAGGAAGTAGAGAATGGAGTGAAATATTTAAAGCGTTGAACAAAAAAAAGCCACCAACCTAGAACTCTATGTCCTAAATCATCCTGGAAAAGCAAAGATGAAATAAAAGACTTAGAGGGAAAAAAAAAAGATGGACAATGCA